AATCTCAATGGGATCTTCTTGGTTAAATAAAGGTTAATAAATAAATGAATAAAAATTAGGGCTGTGACACATGATGCAGTCTACAATAATACTGCTATAAATTTTAAAGTGATTACAAAAAGGTCATATTATATAAAGGTGGTATGAGTTTATGTTCCCTTAAACATAAAACGAAACTTCAGACATCCGTGAGAGCGAGAGCAGTGTCTCAGCCTCCATAAATAAATGCTAATAACATTTGTTTATGTTATAAGCATAAACAAATGACTAATAATAAACAACGGAGCACTCGCTTGCTGCACCAAATTACTGATGCAGTTGCATGGTAGAAAAGGAGGGCTTTAAGTATCTGGTTAACAGGAAACATCCCAGGTTCAAAATATTTTTCAGTTTCATTATGTGAAGGTTACACTACCTGAATTATTATTATTAAGCAGTTTTACTATACTTTTACTTAAAGTTTCCATTGAAAACGCAACATAGGCAACTTCTGTTCTTGACTGTTATTTGACTTATGCTTCATCACTGCTATAACACAGTAACGCTGCTGCCTGCAAGCTGCAATCACACAAAAATATTGTTCAGTATTTGTTTTTACCTATTTACATCATTATCGCAAATTTCCTTGAAATTTCAAATAATCTTGAGGCCATCAGTGAAATAACAGATGCGTGAAAGCTAGCGAGCTAACAAGCTAACAAGCCAGATGTTGACTTTGTTTAAAAACAGCAGTCTGATTTTATACTACATTTTATTTAACATTGCCCAACGTTTCCACGCTGTATACTTCTGCAGAAGAATGAGCCATTGTGAATCTCTATAAACGCCCACTTTAGCAAAAATGCCATGATTTACTACTAAACTGCCCGAATCTGACTGCTGACATCCTGTTCACGATCTATCCACAGAAACAAAAAAATAAAAACCCCCACCACATAACCTCAGCACCATTTTAATCGTTTTAAGCGTTCCCTGTGAGCTTCCTCTTCTTCTAACCAACATTTTCTACTGGGGTAAGCAGCTGGATGTGTTCTTTCAGTATGAAGGTATTCTATTCGTTTTAAATCAACCATAATCAAGCTCCATCTTTGTGAAACCGGCCTCAGAGGCTGTATGTTTCCTTCACTACTGATTGCTCACTCGTTGGGTTGATCCATCAGCACACGTTTCACAATAAGAGAGCAAATGGTTTGGTGCTGGGCAGCAGAACTAGCGAGGAAAGAAAAACGGGTTTTCTGATGGTTTTATCAGCAGAGCAGATGTTCAAACACGCTCCCGCTCACCTGCAGAGGAGACTAACCCACCAGAAACACCAGAGACGCTCTGCAGTGCTTGGCTGCAGCTGGTGATGATTTTCCTCTCGTTGCCTGGAGCAACACAGGATTAGTCATCTGCCATCCTGAGGGGAAGAGGAAATCTGGACAGCAACGAATCAGCGTCATTCGGTCCAACTAATAGCTCACTTGCATTCATTTCCTGGAGAATTACCCCATCAGGGCTGACAACATTCCCGAGCTTAACCCGTAACCAAGTGTGAACCTTAAAGATTTAACACCTGAGCTCACGGGGACTGGAAAGAGCTTCACATCCCCGCAATGTGACTGTGTGAACAGATCCGTCTCCACAACAACAGTAATACGAGTACTCACACACTCTGTAGGGGTACTGTAAGGAAACCCAGACTAGAAAAATCTATGGAGGAATTCTGGGGTTCTTTCACCTCCCAAAACATCTGGATTACATCAAGTCCCAGCACTGCCCAAACTGTTCTTCAGGGTCGTGATTCAGAAAGTAAAATAAATCTAGAGTTTCCCTAACATGTGCTTTTAAACAGTGTAACACTGAGCTCAAAAAGGTTTCTGGCAGGTTTGGTGTTCTGGTGTCTTTGACGGCATAGCCACTCATTTAGATTCTTATTATGCTGACTTTATATAATTTATTCATTTTCTTCATGTTTTTTTAAATGGTTTTCTTTCATTAATAAACACCAGAAGGGCGACTGTATGATCATCACTGACCTCTGTCAGCTTGTGTTACAGACTACAGGCATCACTGACAATGATGTCTCATGGACAATGGGACATCATTGTCAGTGATAACAATGATAACAATGATGTAAGGTGGAAGTGTCAAAAACTGCAATTCCTCTAATGCCCACTAGAGGCTGGTTACAACAGAGTCAGTCCTCATAGACCATCATGTTAAAATGTTTGCAACCTGATAAAACAGTTTTTTGGTCTTTATGGATATTTTCCACCTGCATGGCAACTATACAGTCTACATAACGTTTATATAAGTCACCTGTTGTGATTTTGCTGAGGTTTAAAGTTAGGGGCATGGCCTCTTTGACGGACAGGTGAATGCTGAAACACGTGACTGTAGCAACATTAAAGCATATTAGCTTTGAGCTTAGCAACCTTTCACTTGCTAAGTGCACAAAGTAACCACGACACTACTGGCTTCAAGAAAATTTGTAAACTGTAAAGTTGGCCATTTTAACAGCTTTAACAACTGTTGGAGCCTCTAGTGGCCATTAGAGGAACTGCAGGGTTGTTGTTTTGTTTGTTTTTTTGCTTCATTTTTCAGCACTGGAGGTCTGGACCCTGACATAAAATAGAAAAGGAAGAGGGAGGAGGAGGAGGAGGTGCAGTGACTGGCTTACTAGTGCAAAAATACATCAGAGCAGATAAACAACAGGAGAGACACACAGGTAGGCTAAAATTAAAATAGAAATAGAGAAACTAAAAGGTGGTGTTAGGTAGAGTCGGTGTCACCTTCAGGTTACACAAAAAAGCAGGACTGGAAAATCAAATATTTAACATTCACTGGGGTGCTAAGAAAACAAAAAGACAAAGACAAAAATACACATTCACTCCCAAACCTTACTGGTTTTCTGTTCAGTGAGGGAAGCAACAGCAGGTAAGCTGCTTCACCTGGGGGACCAGCCTCCAGGTGACCTTTGCTTTGATTTGGTTACAAGTTGGCACAGGGGGCGTAGCTACCATCAGGCTGGAGGATTTAAATCCGCTTCCAGTAACATGCAAAACCAATTACTTTATTGGCTGCATTTGACTGAGACAATGCAGCAAACCCAGAGGCTGACTTACAAACACTGTTTTTAATCTGCAGCATGGCAGCAGCAGCACGAGCCCCCACACCTCTTCCTTTATTCTCTGCAAGGGAGTCTGATGAGCATCGAGCTAATCTGCTCAGTTAGAAAAAATATGTACACAATAATCATCATACAGTCATCATCTGCACTGACAAAACGACCAAGCAGGTTCTGCAGGGCCAGCGTCAGCCATGTTGCTCGGTTTCTTTTATACTCACTATTATTTACAGCTCCAGATGAGAGGGGAAAGGGGCGGATAGGGGCCTCAGAGTTGCGGAAGACAAGGGGGCGTCCGGGAAAGGCATTTCTACGGAAAAGGCAGCAGTGTCCCAGACAGAAAGGCAGCAGCAGCAGCGGCAGACGGACCTAACCCAGTCTGCCGCTGCTGCTGCTCCCCCCGCCCCTCCCCCTCGGCGGGAGAACGTAACCAACAAAACGAGCGCTCACGGTGTTTTTGTTTCTGCTTGTTTACCTGCGCGCTAACTAGCTAGCTAGCTAGCAGACACGTGCATGTTTGTTTCCGTCTTACCGTTGATATCATTTAAAACACGGAGGCCGAAGAGGACCGTGAACGAGGGACTTTCTCTCGCCTCCTGCTGTCTGTCCACAGAGCCCGTTTCGACTTCACAGGAACCTCTGAGACTCCACGGCCATCTCACCACGAAGAGATAAGCTAAAGGCGGCCAGGCGCCATGTTTCCGGTCAAGCCTTCCATAATAAAAGCGCCCCAAAGAAAGACGCGCAAAACTTTAACCACACGAACGAACAAGCAGCTGTTTTGTGACGAAGTTATTGGTGCCACTGGAGGGATTAAAAATAAATAAATAGCTAAAAATTAGGGGCTGGACAAGTAGAGACCAAGCTGGAAAAGTTAGTAGAAAAAAACAAATTTTCATGAATTGTGTTTGGGTCATGTATAAGAAAAATAAGCACATTTGCAGGAAAAAACAGCCACATTTATGAGAAAAGGCCAATTTATAAGAGAAGTAAAAGAAATTGACACACTAGGGAGAAAATGTAGGAATATGAATGTGGAAAAGTGTCAAAAAAGGGGGACATTTACAAGTAATCTGCAAACTTATTAGAAGAATGATACATTAATGAGAAAACCGTTGACAACAAAACACAGACAAATGTATGAGGAAAAGCAAGAAAATTTGCAAGAAAACAACTGCCACATTTACAAGAACTAAACAGGAAAATTCATAAGAAAAGAAATCTGCCAAATTGATGAAAGAAAATTGGTAACTTGAGAAAAAAAACTAAGTAAATTCATGACAAAGTTTAAGGGGGAAAAACAGGAAAATGTGCAAGGAAGAAATTGCAACTTTATGGTGAAAAAACGTAAATTTTCTAAGAAAAAAATAGTCAGAAAAAAAGAAAAGGTAAATTTATAGATAAAAGTTACAGTTAACTTTGCAAGACATAGACATGATATTCTTTATTTTCTGAGGTTGCATAGGAAAGACACTCACATATTGAACTTGAATCATACAAAATATTATTACAACACCAGCAAATTCAAATCATATCAAAAGCATTTAAAGAAAGGAGAAGCTGTTACTCATAGTCCTTCTATATTTATTTCACAAAGGTATTTTTTTCTTAATTTTCATATGTCAAAAAAAAATCTAATTTCCTATCAATTTATTTAATTTAACTTAATAGTCATACAGGCGAGAATAAAGCCTTTATTGTACTCCAGAGCCACACTTCCGGCGGTATTGCTGCTGCCTTCACTCTTCTCACTCTCTCTCCCCGCCCCTCACTCCTTTTGCCAAATAGTGCAACCGAGAGGAAATTCAAGTACACCGACTGGCGCATTACGCTGTTTTTCCCTGCCTAATAGTGATCCGTCCTTCTGTTGAATGCGACAGTGGAGGAGACAGACAGAGACAGCCAGAAACAGGGACAAGCAGGAAGGACAAACGGACAGACAGACCAATAAACTGGCTTGTTCTGCCCTTCCTGTCTGGCCTGTGTTGCTCTGTCTATGTATGTCAGTGGAGTTTGTTGTGCTCATTTTGATGGGTTAATTTAAAAAGTCCATTTTAATGTCTGCTGACAGTCCTGCAGCTGTAATAAACTCACTGACCACTGAAGTGTGAAAGGTAACAATGTGAGCTTTTTTTAATGATATGGAACGACAGGGTGTCAAATTCACCAGTGTGCAATCCAAAAACTATGTCTTGTACACCGTCATGGACAATTTGGTCCACATTAAGGCAGCTAATATTGAATCCAGCATGCGCTCAGATAAGAGATCTCCCACACCACTAAGTCACAGCAACCTGTTTCACAAACCTGAATTTGACAGCTGCTGGCACCCACTGACTCCACCATGTTTGCTGTTTGGAGCCAGAAGTGACTGTAATTGGATGAGAGGTTTGTGTAGCAGTGCAAAGCCTAAACACAGATCTGTTAATGAGTGCTAATGAGTAACAGACTAATAAAATACTGAAGTTTCCCTTTCTAAAACTGGAGCCCTAGACAGTCTGTACCACACAGAATTTGATCATGCCGTTAAAATGCTCCAAAAAGCTCCAACAGCACACAGTGGAGAGGTCCAGCTCAGTGGCACACGCTTCCAATCCAATCGAGGCAATTTAGGATGGCCTGCTGATCACCTGAGGACACTTTAACATGTGCACTGGATTAGCAAGAGATCAAACCATCAGAAAAGCATTTTAAAAAGGCAGTGTGCAGTCAAAGCTGTGGACAGGATGCTTCTTGGAGCCAAAGGAGAGATTTGGTAAGAAGTGCTAGGAGATTAAACTAAAGTACTACCTCTACTACTACACCCCTAAGCAACAGAAAATGATATACAGTATGTATGTCATCATTTATATACAGTATAAAGCAGGGATGTGAAACTCATTTTACATTGTGGGCCACATGCAACCTGCTTTGAGTGGGCTGAGCCAGTGAATCTCCTGTTTCTGTCAGGGTAGCAAAGTTTAACTTCACATTTAATCCGTGATGAGCACAAGTTCAACAATGTGCTTCTTCTTCTTCTACACGATAAAGAAATGCTGGTGACACTAATCACACTCTTTCTAATTTAATAATACATTTAAAAGAGTTAATTCAAAGAAAACGAAAATTCCTTTTAAATATGGGCCCACTGTTAAAAAAAAGTCACATTTGTGTAATGAGAAATAAAAAAAAGGAACATCTGGCATTTAATTGTTATCTGTTACATGATTACCTTGGTGTTGTATGAATGGCCATGAAAGTGTTTTGTTAGCAGTGTAAAACTTATGAAAATACAGTTGAGAGTACAAAATTGATGCCTTCTTTCCGTCACATTTTTTAAAACTGTCCAGAGGGCCAGATTTAAGTCTTTCCCAAGCTGATTGTGGCCCCTGGACCTTATGTTTGACACCACTGGTATAAAGAGTCATTTCAGACATCGAACAGTCGAACAAGTAAGAATTCTAGTTGACTTTGTCTTCAAAAAATATTATTTTCTAGCTGGTGTCACCATCTATACTGATTACCATCAAAAAATTACAAATGGGCTTTATGAAAAAATATCACATGTACTCATGATATGTGGCAGCTACCAAATAAAATCATATAGAAAACAGAGATAACCACTTATAATTAGAGCTCGCTATCACACAGTTAAAATGATTACAAGATCCTGCTGTAGAACTTGTCACAAGTTCAAGCCCATCTACTCATTCATCACTTTATTTTGACTCTTTTTCCACAGTGCAGTACAGAACTGAAGTCAGTGGGATAACAAATGTTTGTACCGAACAACAGAAAATGGAAAACAAACTGGGTTTCATATTTAAGATTCTCCTGATTCTTCACAGTCGCCCCCTCTTTGCTTTGATAGCGGCTTTGCACCACTGGAGCTCCTCCAGCAGCTTGGAAGGAGTTCCCACGTCTGCATGCCAAACCATCTCAGCTTGGTTTAGTTCGGCTGTGTTAAAAGGATTGTAGTGGTTTCTTTGCAGCGGTTCCACCAGGAAGGTTTCATCCAAGGTCTGTGGTCTCTTTATGCTGCTGGCTTCTTTCTTCTCTTCCCCTCATTCATCAATCAGTCAAGGTTACCTTCATCTTTTGTCTCATCTGTGTTCCTGTGTGAACAGCCTGTAAGTGCATATTTGTCCAGCACAAATATACACTTACTGGGAATTACTAACTTTCATCTTAAATTATAACGTGGATTTTCTTTAACCATTACAAGTGACTACTTCATGCACTCAAGAGAAATACTGACTGCTTTAAACAATCCAAATTATGAAACAGTTTTTGCCCTGTGACATTTTTGCTGGGATAAGCTCCAGCCCATGGGTGGATGGATTGATGGGTGTTTATGTGGAACAGCTTGAACTTCCCCCTTTAAAGTAGAATAAAAGACTTCATATCCACGGTTTCATCAGATAAACAAAATGTTCTACAGGTGCCTTTTTACTGTGCTTCCAGTAATTCTGCTGTGAATCACGCAGCTGTTCTGGAGCTCGTCATGGTTCAGCAATTTGTGTACAGACAGACGACAAAAAAGAAAAAAATCACCCTGAAACTGGTTATTGTCTTCTTGTGAACACTCAGATGGTGTCTACTTTTCCCAGCAAACAAATAAAACAAGAAAACAAGTGTGAGCTGCAGTTCCTCCAGTGTCCACCAGAGGAACCAAAAGTGAGTCAATCTCCATAGAGTCCCGTGTTAAAATATTCAGCTTTACAGCAGAAATAAACATGTTTACAAAACAGTTCTGGCCTCTTAAGTTCTCCCTTTGTCTAAATAGAGTCACTGGAACTCAATAGATCAAGTATTTCATGGCATTTGTGAATTTTGGATATCTAAGGAGCTTGGAAAGAAAAGCGTCTTGACTTCAACATTGTTAAGTTTGTGTGTACACAAACTTAACAATGTGGTGTATGCTGTACAGTGCAGCGAGGAATGCCCAGACCTCTACATTGGAGAGACCAAACAGCCACTTCACAAGCGCATGGCACAACAAGAAGAGCCACCTCCACAGGACAAGACTCAGCAGTCCATCTGCATCTTAAGGATAAAGGACACTCTTTCGAGGATGCCAATGTTCACATTTTGGACAGAGAGGACAGATGGTTTGAAAGAGGAGTGAAAGAAGCCATCTATGTCCACTGTGAGCGACCATCTTTGAACAGAGGCGGTGGTTTACGACACCAACTCTCTGCCATCTATAATCCAGTTTTGAGATCCCTTCCCAGACGCCTTAACGCCCACTCACATCCTGGGCCATCTGACCTCAGGAATCACATGATAAGGTGGGGCCAGGTTTCACAATGAGCTCACCCGAAACCCTGGCTGATTGGGACCCACACCCAGTTTCACACCTTGGCTCATGTGATTAGGTAGAGGATCATCAGGGGGTCCTTTTGTCCCTCTTTGGGGGGAAACTCCCACTGGGTTTAAATCTGGGACTCTCCACCATTTGACCTTAGAACTGAAGAAGCTTCTCTGATGAGAGGTGAAACGTCTTCAAGCAACTTAAAGAAGTCCAGACGCTTTTCTTTGCAAGCTCCTTAGACTACGATGACCTGGATGACTGAGAACCTTCACAGATGCCTTTTGGAGATCTTTAATCAGATTATCTGACAGAAAAAAAATGGCTTTCTGTGAGGGACAGACCATCTGAGAATTTCATGCTCCAGAGTCAGTGCAATTCTACTTTTTCATCAGTCTGTCATTTAGCACTACTCAGCAGGTATCTGTGTGGGCAGTTATGGGTGTAGCTTGCTAATAAAACTGTATTTTTCTAATAATGCAGCACTCGACCCTCTTGTCTAATTATGATTACCTCTGGCTCCAAAGATACAAAAACTAACCAAAACTTAAGAAAAAAAAATGAAAATGTCAGTGACCATAAATTTAGAGTCAAGGCTTCAAAATATCAGAAACATCATGGCTGCATCCATCCACACATCAGGCTAATAAACACTGGGACTAACCATCAGACGCTTCTGCAAGTGAGGCCATTTTTTTTATTCTTATGGAAGGCTGTTTCGTTGCTGGGGGGGGGGGGGGGGGTGCCATTCAAAATTTTGAATTATTTTCTTAGACGTTTTGAGTTAGTAAGTTAAAAGTTTTAGATACCGAATACAAAATTGTAGATGATGACACAAATTTTCGACTTATGATTGCAAAAATTGTTTATTTCTCTCTTTCCATCAATCTATCCATCTATCTCACATTCCTTTGAACTGCTGCATGATGGAGAGCAGGTGTTCGCTGCGTTTCTGGATGTTGCTCTGCTCCTCCTTCAGTCTCTCCTGCTCCTGTAACACCTCCTCCTGAGGAGAGACACATCACACACATCAAATTTAACACTCCCACATATCTCAAATAATGACTAACTGATGAACAGGACTGCATGTACAACAGTTTACCGTGAATTTTTGTCTGCTAAGCTGTCATAAAGACACCTTAAACTGAAAATAACATCAGTGATTTCACATTCTGATCGTTTCCCAAAGCCAGCGCTGGAAACAGTGAAGCTGTGATGTGCAACCCAGTGTGGACGTAAGCCAGGAAGTTAGAAAACTTATTTTATTTGTTTAATGACTGTCTTGTTTCCTGTTTACATGCATGAAATGCAAAAATATGTTAGTGAAGCAGAGTGTGCGTGTGTGTTAGTGTGTTTGCTTGTTTTACTGACTCTGAGTCTGCAGAGCTCCCTCCTCTCTCGGTCATTCTCCTCAGCTCTCGCTCGAAGCCAAGCTTCATTCTGAGAGCGATGTCTGTCCAGCATCTCCTGCAGCTCCTGACACACACACACACACACACACACACACACACACACACACACACACACACACACACACACACACACACTTGTGTAAATAAAGTATATCCTGGGTCTAAACACCTGAAATATGAAAATGGCAGACGAAAGCAAAATTGCACAATAAAATTGCTCTATTAAGTAAAATAAATCATAAAACAGATTAAAACATCTTACAGAAAATATTAGAAACAATATATCACTGATTAACATGTGATTAGGTTTAATTAACTAGATCATACGGGATTGCACTACATTTACTGACTTCCTCTCATGCATTGAATTAGGTTAGTGATCAGATAAAAATGTAATGGTTTCATGGTAGATTAGATTAATGGGTTAGAGTGTGTAAGAGGTTAATGGGTTAGATTAGGATTAAATGGACTTAATGTAACAAGAACCAGGATAAAGTTCCTGATTTGTTTTTAAATTCATTTCCAGTTTTTACTGTTAAACTTTGAAAGGTGTTTTAACTTTTGGGTCTGAGCAGCTTAAATTTAGTCCTCAAATACTGTTCCAGTATTTTGGGATCACAAGCAGAAACTTACAATACACCAATCACAGGTGGTCCACTCAGGGGGATTCACAGGACTAAAACAGGAGTCACTTGTGGTCCTGTGTTCACTTCCTGCCCTCTTGTTGCTTTAGAGCTTGATGCCAAACTGCACATACGATGACCTCGCCTTCTTGGGTCGTTTTCATAACATTTCTGCACAAGCAGATCAAAGCAGCGGATCCATAATTTGGCTCGGCAGCAGCATGAGGTCACTCCATTCAAGGAGGATGAGAGGTGAAAGGTTCAGGTTTGAGGCCTGAAGCCTGTACATGTAAATCTAAAGAGAGAGGCAGGTCAGCAGAGTCACTGACCTCTTTTCCATCTCATTCTTTCCTGAGTTTACTCGATTTTATTGCCCGTCTTGTATTTATCCGTTTAAATAATCTGCTGTATATTTTAAACAGTATTGTTTTTCCTCTTTTTTGATTTTACAATCTGCACCCTTGTCTTGTGTATCCCAAGTTTCTGTAAATATTCTTTGTAAATAATAGTTAGTTACCAGTTTCAGCTTGGATTACATTCACATTGACCCCTTTATCTGGAGCTTTTACACATTAATAGCACCGTCCTTATACCAGAGTACAGAATAACTGTAAAGACTATATATCTACAAGGTTTCTGAAACTATACTCATGTAGCATGCAACCTAAACCTGCCCCAGCCCCCGGGGGCTTCACTGTTGACTTGGTGGATGTTAGAAGGCTGTTGAACCTGTTGTTGTTGTTGTCTATGTGCTTCATGAGCATCTTTCTCTCTTTGCAGAGCAGCTGCAGCTTTAGTCAGCTCTGACTTCTCTCTGAAAGAAAAAAAAAACACATTCAGCCATTCAGGATGAGCACAGGAAATATGATGTTTAGAGGTGAGGCAGTTAAACCTTTAGCCTGATGAGCTCCTACAGTGGGTCACCTCATGCATGTTCTTGCCCTTTGAGTTGTAGTTAAATGTGTAAATGAAGATGTGCATGTACCGATCTAGTTTGTGGAACTCCTGGTCCAGCAGTGTGAATGCTGTTTGGATCATTGTCATTGCCTGATCACGCACTGCGCTGAAGTCTCTGTGGACAAACACCTGCAGCAGGAAATGCAATTTTATCTGGGTTGCATAGTAATCAGAGTTTCACCCTGGTCTTCCAACCCTCTGAATCTGCATGACTTTTTACCACCATTTGAAAAGAATGAATGAAGGCAAGTGTATTATGTTGACACCTGTGGATTCACCATCGTGTTCTTCTGCTGGACGGATGGAGCTGCCTCGCTCAGCTCGTAGCGGACGTTGGGAACTTTTGTGGGAGTGAAGCTGTTAACGGTCAAAACCAGAATGAAACCAGTGAGTTAAAACCGAGATATGAGACTCAAACAGAGCATGACAAGAGGCTCAAATGGCACACACACACACACACACACACACACACACACACACACACACACACACACACACACACACACACACACACACACACACACACGAAAGAGAGCCGGTGTGCACACACAGACAGCAGCTGCTGACCTGTGGCTGATACCCTGGAGACCAAACTCTGACAGAATCTCCTTCATCACTGTGGAGACAGAAGTTTTTTGTTTTTCAGTCTGACACAAAGTTCATCTGTGAGTTCACATGGAGCAAGTGCAGTGCTGTAAATGATGTAAATGTAATGAGAGCTATTAAACTCACATAATGATGATAAAATAGATTCCCCTCTTTGTTGTATGCTTAATTTTAATTGGCAGTTTCATTAATCATTAAGACTTCATGATTGAAAACTTGTATTTCAGTGTATTAAATGGAAAACTAAAATCTTCCATTTAAAAAAAATAATCCAGCCTTTTGCTGTGGCTCCAAACTGTGAGCAGGTGCTTCTTGTTTGTTTTAAATATCCTTGATATGTATCTCCAACTTGGAGTCCATCTGTGCTAATTTAAACGAGTAGCAAACAGTTCAGAAAAACCATGTCTGAAGCTCTGAGTGTTCTCAGAAACACAAGGATGTTAGTATTTGTAAAGTGGAGGAAGTTTGTAACCACTAGGACACTTTGTTAGGAACAGCTACCTGTCCAAACTCAGTAAATAACGAGTTACTTGGTCAGCGAGATCAAGAAACAATTTTAGCAGCACTCCTTGACTGAAGCAAGGTTGAATTGTCTCCACTATGGAGAGGTAACAAGATACGTCAGCCTACTTGACACTTGCCAGATGGCTTTTAAAGAACTCAGAGAGCACAAAGACTTTTGTTTTTTTTACATTTTATTATAACTACTCATTGTTAATTCCTGTGTTTAAAAAATGGCTTGAAAAGATTCTAAAGAAACAGCTACTGTGACTTTAGTCCCAAAAGCTGCATTTAACGTAGAAGAAGACATACTGTGGTTGTGGGGGATGTGTGAAATTGAAAAACTTTTCTTTCTTTGTCTTTCTGGAATGAGTTTGATGTGACATTTTTTAAAAAAGCAGTACTTTTGATTTTAAATTTATCAACTTAAAATTTAAAAGTACTGCAGTGCACAATAAAGTGTGTAAAAACTGAATCCATTCCTGTTGTGCCTATTTAAATGACCATTGACCTCTCCTCTAGCACCATCCTGTGGACAGCTTTGCCACTGCAGCTCCTGTGCTCTTTAACGAGAGCCAAATATGTTTGCCTTTACAGTTTTTTCTGATGGCTTTAACCCTAACTGTGATTCTTATAGCACAATTCCTAAAACTATTAATGCTTATAGAAAAACCACTCACTGAGTTTGCAAAACTAAAACCACAAACACTGCTTTGCACTCAGTTTGCAATTTTGTAACACACACTTTGCAAAACTGTAGGCACAATTCACTGCACAAAACTCTTTTTGCAGAACTTTAAACACTGCTTACACTCAATTACCAAATTTCCAACACACTCCTAGCAAAATTATACACATGTATGGCTATCATTAACACTATTTTGCCAACTGTCTGGCACACTTTCACATGTGAAAACAGTTTTAGATAATTAGTCCACTTTGCAATCAGCCTAAGCACTATAAACAGGCCACAGGTAAGCTGTCTATGTGGAGTACAATGGAAGGAGCAGTAAGAGTGAGAATCAGAGGAGGCCGAGGGAGAGGACGTGGAGGTGAAGAAGTTGGAGGAAGAGGACGTGGAGGTGAAGAAGCAAGAGGGTTAGAGGATGTTAGAGGAAGAGGACAAGGAGGAGCAAGAAGAGGACGAGGAGGGGAAAGAGGAAGGGTAAGAAGAGTAAGAAACAGAATAACTGATGACATCAGAGCTACAATAGTGGACCATGTCATCAACCATGGGATGACCCTGAGGGAATCTGGCCAACGTGTTCAGCCTAAACTGAGCCGCTACACTGTGGCAAGCATCATTAGGACATTTCGAAATGAGAATCAGTAAGTACTTTGTAGCACTGCCATACTCTAATGAGAAACACAACAGTACCATACATGCAAAAATACTGAAATTGTTACTTTACAGAATTGCTAGATGTCCAGATGTTGGGGGCAGAGGCAGAATGTTCACTCCAGAGCAAGAGACCCATATAGTGAACATGGTGATTGCCAATAATGCAATAAGACTGCGCGAAATACAGCAGCGCATAATTGATAATGACACCATCTTTCAAAATATACACAGTGCAAGCATTTCTGCACTAAGTCGTGTACTTGCGCGAGCCACAGAATAAGAATGAAGCAAAGTTCCTTTCGAGAGAAACGCAGCAAGTGTAAAGCAACTGCGATATGACTATGTGCAGGTAAGCTAGTGTCATTGGTTCTGAATTTGGAAGTGCATACTGTAGTGCTGTGCATGGGCCTGATGTGTTGCATTTGTTTTGTCTTGTCCAGAGAGTGATGGAACTAGAAGCAGATGCAATGGGACATGAGCTACTTTTTGTAGATGAGGCCGGTTTTAACCTCAGTAAAACCAGGAGACGTGGCAGGAACATTACTGGACACCGTGCCATCATCAATGTCCCAGGACAACGTGGTGGTAACATAACCATGTGTGCAGCTATAAGCCAAAATGGTGTTGTTCACCATCATGCAACCATAGGCCCATACAACACTGCACACATTACTGCATTCCTGGACACCTTACATGACATGCTCACTGTTCAGAGACCAGAGCAGACCCGATATGTCATCATATGGGACAATAGTTTCCATAGGGCTGCTTTGGTCCGCAACTGGTTTACAGACCACCCATCCTTCATGGCACTCAACCTCCCTCCATACTCTCCATTCTTAAATCCCATCGAGGAGTTCTTCTCTGCCTGGCGCTGGAAAGTGTACAACCGTCATCCTCATCAACAGGTAGTCCTTTTACAGGCAATAGAGGAGGCATGTGGAGATATTGACCAGGCATCATGTCAGACCTGGGTATGGCATTCAAGGAGATATTTTCCCCGGTGCCTTGGACTGGAGGATATCGCATGCGATGTGGACGAAATTTTGCGACCGGACCCAGAAAGACGACATGATGTAGGCTGATTGTCTTTTTTTCCCCTTTTTTTTTGTGAAATTCCTATTTTGTGTTCTGACTTTGTCTTGGTTTTGATGAGTGTGAATAAACACCAATACTTGAAGTTTGGATCCTTGTATGTTTACATGACACTATGACAAAAGTGTGACCTCAAATTGACATCTGTGCACAGAGAAAGCAAAAGCCAGATGTGTTTTGTATTCATACCATCAGTGTGCAATTGGCGCATTGTGTGCTTGGTAGATGATGGCTTGTGTGTACTGTTTGATACGAAAACACCATTTTTACGTAGATGTGAAGAGTTAATCTAGCTGTGTTCGCATTTGCAAGAGAACTACAATGTTTTGATAATTGGGTGACAGGTTTTCTTATTTGTGTGTAGAGTTTTGCAAAAATAGCCAATAGTTACAAAAAATGTGCTTAAGCAATCAGAAAAAACTGTAATACACTATAACGTACCTGGTTGCCTCTCTGATGGGTTAATGAGCTTCATCACCTTTAGGTCATTGAAATTCTGCTCTTCGTTCTTCCCTCCAAACACATACAGCTGCCAATCAAGTAGGCACAAAAAGAACACTTTATTTCATATCACAGTAATAATAAAAAAAAACCTATTATAATAATATATTTTATTTTTGCTGACATGGCTGTGAAGGATGAAGGCGGTGTGTCCATGCCGACGTGTCGGAGGAATCCCGACGTAGAGCGGGACCTTCCACTTCGTCTTCGCTGCAGACACACAGTGTGAAGTATTTACACACTTTAACTCTTCAGATTTACACGAGTCAGTTTTAACTTCTCTGCAGCATCCAACCCACCAATACTGAGCTTGTGGATTTCACTGGACGACGTCACTGTGCCATCCTCATTGGTGCTTTTGCCACCAAACAGGTAGATGTCCTACATGAGATTTTTCCAAAAGTAATAAACAACAAAAAAATAAATACAAAAACAAAACAAAACATTGTATTCAGGAGTCAACGTGACTGTTATTTAAAGCTACGGTTATTTTTGCTTTCCAAATAATATATTTTGATAATTGTATATTTCTGTCTTAACAGCTTTTTTGTTTATTTTGTTTTGTCCATTTTTCTTGTGATTTAAAAAATAATATCCTACTTGTTTTTAAACTGTTATTTTTATACAGCTTTAAGGATATAGCGGCTATACAGGCTCGCATATAGCAAGTATCAGTTTTCAGTAGCTAAATAAAGCTACTTTATTTCAGTGTTTTTAAAAACACTGAGAAAAGATTCACTATAAATAACAATAAAGAAAAATAAAGACTTTGTGGCAACACCCTCTAGTGGTCAGAATAATTATGACAGGGGGAAAAAAGAAGGACGGTGAGCTCATGGAGGCATACAGTCAGCACAGGGAGGAGGTCAGGGTGGATGGATGATAAAAAATATTTAACCATGGCTGATCCAGAACCTAAAGGGACTATTATATATTGCTGTGAGCATGAAAACGGAGGTCCTCTAATGTAATTATATGCACACATGCAAACTGAATAAAGTTTAAATATTTGTTGCATTTCTTGCTTCTATAATGGGCACAAATTCACTGCACTGTCTGTTGCTTTAGAAGGCTGACTCCATCCTCATCTACCGTCACTATTTCTGCTCCTTGCAGCTTCACTGTTACACCTTCTCTATACCAGACTTGTTCTTAAAAATCAGTAGCAGTATACTTCTCCAGTCCTCAGGCATCCTCATTTTCCAAGGTTATATTAAGTACTCTGTTTAAAAGTCCACTGTCTTTTCTCCTGGACATCTCCATACCTCCACAGATATGTCAACTGGACCAAGTACCTTTCCACAGCTGCCCTCCCTTCCACTTGAGAGAGGTGGCAACTGTCCAGCTCTCTCATATATCCTACATTCATGAGATCCTGAAAGTACTCCTTCCATCTTCTCAACACAGTCTTTTTACTTGTTAGTTCATTTCCATCTCTGCCATTAATCACTCTGCCACGTTGCACATCTTTTCCAGCTTGACTTCTTAGTAGTCAATCACTAACAAGTCCCTTTCTACTTCCTTACTGTCCAGCCTCACAACTCCCTAGAAGACCTTACCCTGTACTCTTCCCACCTCTCTAACACTATTTTTTTATGTGTTATTTTTTTCTTTTAGTATTAAGGCCCAAGCAGCCAGAGAGAGGAAGGTCTGGGTATTTCAGACTGTTGCCTAGATAAACTGCAGAAAAATGGATGGTTGGATGGATAAAAATATTAATATTGTGGTAATATTAATTTTAGTACAGCTGGTTCTCCAAAGCATGGCATAGGTAGAAACAAATGAATTATAATCACACCAATTCAATAATAAGTAAAATATATAATAGTGTTTTGTTTTTTTTCCAGCACCTCTGCTACTGCTACTAGTACATTCATATAGTTCATTTCAGTGTGCGTGTGTGTGTGTGTGTGTGTGTACTTTATCATGGTGTGCAGTCAGTGTTTGTCCGCTGCAGGCTGCAGGTGATTCTCCTTTCACCTCCATTTTCTGCCACTGCAGGTTCTCTTAAAACCCAAAGGACATAAAGGTCAAAGGTCAGATGAAGTCATAAGAGTCATGTGTTAGACTTAATTTGTATATTTGCTGTATATATAAGCATGAATGATCTTTTCTAGATACCTGTGAATTCTGATGCAGTTCAACATACACTGTTTAAATCTCTGACATTTGTGTAAATAGAAACTTTTTGTTTGATCGTGTGCAAGAAATAAAGTTGCATAAATAAATCTATCTGGTCATTTTAAAGCGAGTAATCCAAAGCTGCACTAATATTTAGTGGATCTCTATGATCATCTCCATCTCCCACCAAGTGTAATTATTATGTGCTATGTAAAACTAACTGGAAAATGCCTCAGCTTGGCTCTTACCTGTATTGAGAACATAGAGGTCTTTACAGAAGTCTCCTCCTGCTCCATAACCTCCAAACATGAACACCTGATCTCCAACCAGAGCACAACTCTGACCCCATCTACACACAGAAAAAGGACATCTGTCAGATTCTTTGGGTTTCATAGATTAGTATGCTGCCAAAATAGAATTGTCATTGTTTTTATAAAAATCTGATAGTCGTGGTCCTGGACTTTGAAGTTTTGGGGCCTAAAGTATTATTTAGATTCGACATTTTTATTATCATGTTCCTGCTCCTGAGTGTGGTAACAGTTTATCTCAGTGTTCAGTTAGTCACTTCCTGTTTTATTTTGGTAAATCCATCTCTTTTGTGCTCTGCTTTTAGTTTAATAACATAAAAAGTATTTGCCCCCTTCTTGATTTCTTTTTTTCATATTTGTCACACTTACATGTTCAGCCAACAAATTTTTCATATTGTACAAAGATAGCTGAGATTTTAAACGATGATTTCATCTATTAAAGGATGAAAGCTATGCAAACCTATCTGTATTTAGTCAGGTTATCTTTTTATAATATTAAAATTAGTTTCACAATCTGAAACATCTAAGTGTGAGAAATGTGCCAAAAAAACCTTAAACTTAAAAACTGGGAAATGCTTTTTCATAACACTGCATTGCTTCTCTCTCGTTATCCTTGTTCAGTTCCACCTGTTTCTTGTCACCCAGCGGTTTCCTCTGCCCACGGTACCCCTCGCTGTGTTCCTGTGTTTGTAAATCTTTCAGCTGAGCACTGTACATGTAGCTTTCCTCTCACATTTCTCTGAGGTGTTTGGATTTTGTTATTTTGCCTCAGCTTTAAATTTACGTGTTGACCTTTTATTAGCTAAATAAACAGCTTGCTTTTTGTTTTTGAATGCTGTCTTTGTGTCTCCAAATCATGACATCTGATGCTAAATTCCTTCACTGAGCCATGACTGTGAAGCTTGAACTACAGTTTTTGGTGACAGTGTGTCAGAGAAGAAGTCTCACAGGGCAGGAGGCAGAGATCCACTCGTTTTGACCGGTGTCCAGGTGAGAGACACTGAAACAGAGCAGAAAGGACATCAGAATCTAAAATGTAAAAACATATGTAAATAGGGTGATTTGTTTTTATGAAGACGAAGAAGACGAAGAAGACGAAGACGAAGACGAAGAAGAATGAAAGCTGCATAAGTATTTTTTTTTCTGTAACCTGTGTTGAACACCACGAGGTCATCAGTTGGATTCCCCTCCACAGCACCTCCGTACACGTAGATGTTTTCGCCAGCAGCAGCAGAGCAGTGTCTTAGAGCTCTGAGGGCCACACCCCCAACCGCTAAGCACTCCCAGGTCAGAGTCACTGTCAGGACATGGAAACGTAATGAAGTATGGGCGTCACTATGGGGGGCCCATTCTGCGTGCGACTTCTGTACCTGAGAAGCCCATTTAGGCATATACACACTCTATGACATCCTACAAAGCCAAGAGTAGAAAAAAAAGTGTCTTACTTTTTGGCTCAGTCATTACTTGTGCAGACCCTAACCTCACTATTTGAAACTTTGGTCATGTTTTATATGACCCACACACAACACAAATCAAACTAAACTAGTTCATTGTTTCTTCTAGCTGCTGTACATCCTCACCTATATCAAAGCTGTAGACTCCTGGGAGACACTCAGTGGCTTCAGGACTGGACGCTCCTCCAAACAGATACAGCCTTCCTTTCACAACACTGAGAAGGAAACAAAACATGGTGTTTACAGTAAAAATGCATCAGTGTGTTGCAGCATTGCGAGAGCTACAGCTGTAATTATGACTATTTTGCTCAACATTTGTAACCTTGAATATTCAACAGAACTATTTATTATAAAATAGCCTAACGTGAGTGTCCTGGCCCAAGACAGATCGCATTAGTCTGTCTGTCTTGGGCTTTTATAATGGTGGGAGAAGCTCAGTGAGAAGAAAACATGCACACGGATGGGGGAACATTACAGTCATTGTGCTATCACTGAACTTAAAAAACTTAAAAAACAATCAACAAATAACTCAAGTAACCAAACGTGAACCAGGTGAGAGATCCCGTGCAACCATTAATGAGCCTTCTTCAAGTCCAGCCAGAGAAACCTTATCAGGAACTCCACCTCCTCTAGATCTTATTATTGACCAATCAATAGAGAAGCACAGACAACATATGCACAAGGAGGATAATGAGGGAACAGGCCACAGGTGGGAACACAGCTGACACTAATCTGACTGACAAGACAACGAAAGAAAAATTGAGCATAATACACATGAAACATAAGACTATTAAAATAAACAAGAAGTAGAAAGAATGAGATCGAGACTAAGATACATGGGCTTGACAGGGTGACTGGGGAGAAAACAGACATGGGTACATGACTGGGGAGGCTGAGAAACACAGGGATGAGACTAGGGAAGACTGAGCTCAAGAAACACCAATATAGGGCTAGAACATAACAAATGAAAACTGGGTCGAAGACCCAAAACCATGACACCTTTTTTTTCTAACTATAGCACACAGCAGGAGAAAAGGCAACTCACCACTAGAAACTCTTTGGTTTTGGGTGGTATTCAGAGCAAGTGTGCAGGAGAAGGACACACAAAGTCCACTTGATTGCTTTGAATTCTGAAGATAGTCACCTCATTTATTGTTATCTGTCTCGATTCAATGGAGAATATGCTAAATGTGAAATGAATTTATGTAACATTATTTTAAAAAAATGTCTATTTCTTTCTGACACTGACTGATTTCAAAATGTTTTAAACTATCAATAATTGGAGTTCAGAGTCAGTGCTGTATTTTACCACAGAGTGTGCCCTTCTCTGGCCGAGGGAACGTCGCCGCTCTGAGGAATCTCCTCCCAGGTCACATCTTCAGGAGTCACTACAAACAACACCAAAACATCAAATGCAAAGCCTTTTAGTTCTCACAAATCTACACTCGGTGTCTGTGTGTGGCTGTGCGTTTGTGTATGTTTATTTTGGTATTCATGATATTTTATATAGCGTAAATAAAACTGACCTTGCCACTGTAAATGGACATACTGATAATTTTAATCAGATGTGATAATTATTCCAAACCACTGGAAAAATATAATAACTTTCTTTCTTTTTATTTATTTATTGTAGCTTTTTTTACTCCCAGTTTTCTAAAGCCTATGGTGCTTTTTAGGTTGTTTTCCTGTTTTTAATCATCATGGTACAATTTAAAGAAGAAGATTTTTTTTGTCGTGGCTTTTTAATTGAACTGAGCTGTGTGTGAACTTAAAACTGAGTTCAGTAAATGGGTTTTAAATTCAGCATCATTAACATCCTAAAACTTTGCTCAATAGCACTTGCAGAAGTCCAAACCTCCAAAAATGCATGCGAGATAAAGCACATCAGGACTACAGCTGCATGTTGTACCTGTTAGCATGTAGAAGTCACTGAAGTAAACAACACTGCCCTCCTGAATCAACCAGAAAAGACTGATTAGCAGAAGCACAGACCACCCAGTCTCCATGCTTCACTCATGTTTCACTGTGACTGAATAAAAAAGAAAAATAAACAGTGGTCTCACCTCTTGACTGATGCTGCAGGCACCTCCGAAAAGAAAGGCAACGTCTCCAGCCACGGCTAAAGCATGGCCGTGTCTGTGGATTTAAAGAAACACACAGAAATAGAAGCGGGTCAGACATCATCTTCACTGAGCTTAGTATTATGTGTGCAGCAGTTCTTCACCAGGTTGTTTTTTACCAATATGATGAACTTTAGGTCACCTTTGTCTCTAGTGAACCTTAGTCTTTAATGTCATCTTACCCATTGTCTCTGTCTCTCTCCTAGTTACCTTTTTGGACCCTTTCCTGGAAACATTTCTGTTTGGAGGCTCACCTGCCCGTGGACTGTAGACACTCCCAGCAATGCTGATTAACCTGCAAGGGAAAGACCTCAGCAAACTTGCCTGCCCGCTGTTCATTCCCAGAGTGTCTGAATTTCCCCCTGTTGAGCTGATGCTCCTCTTAGCCCCAAAACCACCTCTGAGATATGTAAGGCAAAGGGCCAGACTCGGAATATTCACAGTCATATTCCTTCTCCTTTGGAACTGCAGTTAATGCAACTCATTTCCAGCAGAGCTCGTCTGCACATTGTTATTATAAAGTCTCTCTCTCTCAGTCCCACTGGCAGTCATCAATAACCATTGCCAACTGTAATAAGCTACAAAAAACTGCCAATAGCTGTTTGAGTCTGCTCACTGAGTCCATTTTGAGCACAATTATTACAAGAATGAATTATGATGAGGTGGATGAAAATGTTGGCACGCCATTAAGTTGGGCATTCCTAAACTTAAGACTTTTACTTATTACAAGCTCATTTTGAAATGTAAAAAATCTTCTATAGCCCACCAAAGTCTTTATTCACATTAGCATAAGAAGACATATTTTCTGCTTCATGTTGTCATTGATTCCTTTTGATCTTCTGATGTTTGGTTTGAGGTTGATTCTTTATCAACAGCTTTACTTTGGCCAATAATGCTGCATTTTAGCTCTTACACTAATGAGCTATATTAAAGAGATCAGGAGCCAAAATAAGCCAGAAATCAAGAATAATGTAAAATTTGTGGTAATGTTTCATTTTTAAATCTTTTAAGTTTGTGTTATGTAATATTTCTGTTTTTATGGTGATAAAAATTAAATTACAAATTGAAAAAATGACCTCTTGCGGCCCACGCCATCTAAAATCACTGGACTGGACTTATGGTATATAAACTGACGTAGCCATGAGTGACATCATCCACTGATATCCACTGAAGTACCCTAATGCCTAAATTATACTTTCAACATCCATGAGTTGACATAAATTTTGTCATCAGACGGTGACAAGCCTGTTTTGTGGTTTCCCCCACAGAGAATGTGAATTTCAATGCACCAATTAGGCATGTTCTCGAATTCCAACAGGAATGACTCGGCTGTTGGGTCTCCATCTGTCCATGTCCAGAAACCTCAGGACAACCAAGCTAACCAAGCTGACCAAGGAACCTGGAACACTTCAACAAGCCAATAAAGTCACTAAACTATTTAAAAGACATGCAGCAATGGAACTGGGGGCTTCCCATAAACTTCTATCCAACCAAACTTACTTTTGCTACCAGAGGAGTTGCAGGTTTAAGGTTTTAACGTGATTAAACTCAGTTTATTTCATTACTTTAATGGTCTACTGACCTGATTGTATCGTGTAGAACAACCTTCACTATAACAATGTCACAATATACTAAGCATTATCACATGTTAGCATTTATACACTAATCTTTCAAGAGTGATTGTTACCTGTTTATTTGTGGTATATACTGCATCAGAGCACCACCTTTACATTATTTAGGTTGGCGCACTCACCTTGGACTTGGGGCTTCTCCTTTTATCTCCTTCTCCAACCAGTGACCGCTGGCCAATGCCATCTTCACACCTACTGTGTCTCCGTCTCTGTCTCACACAGTTTTTCTTTATTGGGGTAACAGCTGTAACAAGCACATAGTTTGTTTTTCAATCATGAAAATATGTAATTTTTTTAACTGAAATTTACTGAATCTGTAAGAACAAGTAACAGCTGCTAATAAAGGCACAGGTACCAATGTGTTGTTAAAGAGCATCACACCAATTTTTTCTCATAAGCCCTAAAAAGTGAAATAATGCAGCCGAAGTTTTTACTCGTTTTCGAAAACATATTATGAAGATTGTCATTGTTAATACAGTCTGATATTTCATACTCATATTCTCTATACAAAATTCTTCCAGGTGTACACATAATATATCCTTACTCAAAACAAACTGTGGTTCTTGCAAAATTCAATTCTTAATGGTGACCAAACCTTAAATTTTCATGCAGTTTCCCCTGCAGGTGGTGCCACAGATGCAAGGTGATCTCAAAACGTGCCTTTTTGTAGCTCCAGTTACGAACACCAACAGCAGCAGCGGAATAAAACCCACCTGTGGAGGTGTTTGTGTCTGCCAGGAAATCGGCTTCTTTCCTGTTATTTCGTTGTTTTATTGATGCTGGATTAAGCCCACAGATGAGTCATCTCAGCTTCACAGTCTGACAGCTGCTCTTTGAGTCTCAGCTTACAGGTAAGCTACACTTCCCTCTGCAGGTAGACCGTTACCCAGCAACACCTCCAAACACAGAGCCGAGTCAAGCAGGTCAGCATTTAACAGGATGAGAGTGAGAGCAAAGTGCAGAAAAAAGTGAGGAAAACACTCTTTAATATACACGTAACACGAAATCCACTCATGTTCTACACTTTGCTTTAATATTCTCTCTTATAACAGCTTCTGTACAGTAGGTGGCGCTCACTTATTGTATTTGAGTTTGCTATCTACGTTTTTCTGTCTGGTTTTCCACTTTTTTCCATAACTGCAGTGTATGAGACACAGTAGTGCAACAAAAACTCATGACTTTATGTTTTTAAAACTCTTTAAAGTTACTTTTATGAATGTTGACTATATTTTTCTAAATGAATATAACATGAAATGGATTGAACTTAAAATTAAGTCCATGTGACTTATATTCAATGCATAGTTAAGTAATGCACAGTTAAAATAAACCAGTTGGTGCAACCTGACCCTCTTTAGCTGAAGTCTTACTTTTTCTGAGACAGGTTTGTTTACATTAAACATGAAACACAGCAGCAGTGTGCCAACTTTATCTTTGATTTGTTTCCAGGTGCTTCAAATTTCAGCCATTTAAAAGCTGCACTAACTTCTAACCGAGCACAGTATTAAATTGTAAATGTGTTTTTATAAAGACCTTCAGCTGCAGTATAAATCTAACTGTAACCAAGAGACTGTAGTGATTGGGCTGCTATAAATACATGAAACGTGCAGACATGCAATTAGAAGTGAGGAGAGACAGGGGGCGACAAACTCATAAAGAAGTAAAGATGACAGGAGGTGGAGAAGGGCTGAAAGTGAGAAATCCACAGACATTTTTAGCCTTTGTTACCTTTCTGTTATCTATCACTGATAATAAAAATGCAGGCTTGAATGTTTAGTGTTTACTTGCTGTATATGCTCAAATGTGTGTTCAGGCTAAAGGAAAAATTAATGCAATAGCCTGTCATTGGCACTCACGGGGTAATAACTGATCACATTTATTGCTTCACTGCAGAGAAAAGATAAACTACTTTATCCATACTTACTACAGAGTAAGGGCCTGTCAGTCCTGTTGTTTGGTGTGTTAACGTGGCTTATGTTGTTTGAATTATGTACTTCACTAAATTTGGTCCAAAATCTGCTTGTTATTTAAAACAAACTGCCTGAATTTCCACTCAGGCTGAATTTGGGCCATTGAAGGTTTTATAACTTTGATCATTTCAGTATTTTAGGCATTTTCTAACCCAAAAACACAACTCTGGGCTCCATGGAACAGGAAGTTCACAGCAAAACGACCTGCACCACATCACTTATGAGCATGTCAGAGACAGACTCTGTGACGGACCAGCACACCAGATCGGCTGGGAGTCACCAAAGAACAGCAGAACTGGCAGGTCAGCCACTGGTGCCCTATTTTCTTAACAGGTTCACACTGAACACATGTGGCAGATGTGAGAGAGTCTGGAGTGGGGTCTGTCGCTTTGATTTTCAGCACAGCAGATGAAATGGACTCTCACTGGTCTCTGTTTCTGAACCAGCTAATACCCATGAAGTTCAACCAACTCTGATCAGTGTAAATCAATTAATCATTTAATTCTTGATTGCAAAAGTGTTCTTGCATTGGCTGGCAATGAGGAATTCCACATGGATGTGGTTTCCGTTTAAAGGTCTAAATGAAAGATTAAAGGCTTCTGTAAACACAGCATGCCCTTTAAATTGCCCAAAGCCAAAGATTTGGGCTTCTGGTGGCTTGAAAACAGATCAAATGGTACATACATGTGTTTTTGCCAGAGAGACGCTGAGTCACCTGCATTTATCTCCGGAGTGTATAAATATGTGTTCTTTCAAATGTATCCATGGAAATATGATTTGCTTTTAACTGGTGGAAGCTCCAAGATGCCTGGTTTCTCCTCAGTGCACCAGCTGCTGCAGGTAAACACGGGGCCAGAGAGAAAATCTTTGATTTCATTTCTGCAGACACTGCCTCACATCTGTTTTCTTTTTTGGAGCATGATCACAGCTCATCTCTGCCTCTGAGGCTCTTCATGTCCGTGTACATCATTCTTATGATCTTTTTGGCCTCACTGGGTAGATTAAGGCACTAAAAAGTGTAATCACGGCTATCCTTTATGTGTGGAGGCAGAATAATGCTTCTAAAATAAGACGGTGATCACTTTAAATGTTTCAATCTGCGTCTGCTTCTCTCCTGATTGATGATGCGACTCGGCCGGTCACGTTTCCCACCGTCACCACTCTTTTTTTTGTCATGTTTTATTCATACAGACAGTAACACACACACATACATAACGACCACAGCCACAGACACGTGAGTCTCTCGTTTTTTCACCTCCGTCTGCCACTGTCAAACCAACCGGGGTCCAGCCTCGTTTTCAAAATAATACACACACGTTCACCCAATTTCTCAGTACTGGTCTTCAGGCTGATGGAAATCTACTGATTTGAATAAATTATGTATTTAAATCTTTAATTAATTAAATGTTGCGAATAAAAACTGATTCTTTGATTTTTGATTTTTTTTCTATTCCGCCTCTTCACTTTTAGCAGCACCTTTATTGTGAAAGGTTTATATCCGCTCTTGTGTTATTGTTCTGCCTTATATAAGACCTTATTGTCCCAACTTGACTTGAAAACGTGCTTATCCATGGGGGTCCTGGCCAAGCAGACGCTCTCACAGTCCTTTTTCAGTCACTTTCTTCATGGCTTGTAAAT